AGAACACAGGAAATGTTAAACACTGTTCTGATTCCAATAAGATTAATATTTATTTACATTTTTTAGATATAAAGTTACACAGACAGAAAATCAGTCATTGTTCTTTTTCTTCTTGAAGCATTATACCTCGTAATCTTTCAGGTATGCAGGAAATCTCACCCTTCGTCCAGCTTTTGTGTTTCTAGGATGAATATTTTTGGAAGAATCATTGTGTCCAGGCAGTGGGGGTGAGATTTTAGAGTTGTCAGCTTCGTGCGTCTGGAGATTTGTTGTTATTTCATCTTTGAGACTGAAACCGGCTTCAGTCTATCTATAGATATCCTTTTAATTTCACCTGAAACTTCCACATCGAAAAAATTCTCAAAAATTTCAATTAAATATGGTCCGAGATAGGGTGTGAAGAGAAATTAAATTATGTTTATAGATAATACAGGAACCATTTTTCTGAGTCCTTTGCACAAAATTGCTTTTTTCATGGATGGTGTGGTGTTGGTTTTAGGTTTTGGATTGACTAAAAAAAAATTTGTGAAAAAGACCAAATGTCGACCACAGGGTAATAAAAAGGTGCTTTGGGAGAAGAACAAGCAGGGCCTCTAACTCTACGTTTCACAAAAACTGCACTCAAATTCTCAGTAACTCACTGATCTACAGAACAGAATACTGGCCTGTAATGAATATTCAAACAGATTTGTTTTACATATCTAACTGATATGAAATGTGATATTGGCAGTGTGGAAGTCTAGAACACAGGAAATGTTAAACACTGTTCTGATTCCAATAAGATTAATATTTATTTACATTTTTTAGATATAAAATTACACAGACAGAAAATCAGTCATTGTTCTTTTTCTTCTTGAAGCATTATACCTCGTAATCTTTCAGGTATGCAGAAATTCTCACCCTTCGTCCAGCTTTTGTGTTTCTAGGATGAATATTTTTAGAAGAATCATTATGTCCAGGCAGTGGGGGTGAAATTTTAGAGTTGTCAGCTTCGTGCGTCTGGAGATTTGTTGTTATTTTATCTTTGAGACTGAAACCGGCTTCAGTCTATCTATAGATATCCTTTTAATTTCACCTGAAACTTCCACATCGAAAAAATTCTCAAAACATTTTTCAATTAAATATGGTCCGAGATAGGGTGGTTGAAGAGAAGATGAAATTATGTTATTATAGATGAATACATGTGAACAATTTTCTGAGTCCTTGTGCACAAAAATTGCTTTTTTTCCATGGATGGTTGTTGGTGTTGGTTTTAGGTTTGGGATGTGACTTTGCAATTTTTGTATAAAATCTGAATGCATAACAGTGGGGACATAACTGAAAAATTCTCCAGGCAAACAGATTGGTGAACGATACACAAGTTCAGCAGAAGAATAATACGAATCTTCTTTAATGGCGGATCGAATGCCAAGAAGAATCAAAGGTAGAACATCTGTCCAAGAATTTGATTTTTGCAGGTAGAAGTTTAGGCTGTTTTTTAAAGTTCAGTGTTGTCATTCGATTAAACCATTAGATTGTGGATGATAAGCCATAGTGCTGTTAGCCTTGAAGCCTAGGTATTTGCTCAAGGATCTGAAGACTTGGCTGTCAAATTGCCAACCTTAGTCAGATGTTATCTTCTCTGGGATTCCAAATCTCGAAACCCAAGTCATGATGAGGGCATGTGCGACAGACTCTGCGGTTTGGACTTCAAGAAGTACATCCTTGATCCACCGAGAGAATCTATCGATGATTGTAAGCAGGTACCTAAAACTTTGCAAGATGGTAAAGGGCCAACAATATCGATATTAAGGTGCTTGAAACTTTAAATGGGAACTTTAAATTCAGCAGCTGGAGCATGGGTATGTTCGTGAATTTTGGCTCGTTGTCATTGTAAGCATACTCTAGACCAGGGTTTCTTAAACTGTGAGTCATGACTCCTAAAGGGGTCGTGGGACCTGCAGCAGGGGGTCGCCAAAAATTTTAGCAGTTTTGATATTTTCTTTAACTTATTATAGTAATTTTACAATTACCAAATATTTTTACACAATGTATCTGAAAACAGGTAAAGACAATACAGACAAAGAAACGAAAACGTTTCGACGCATACGTTTTATAACATAAATGTTTATTTTCATTGCTTTGCATGTGACGCTATTATTTCGTCTGTTACTTATTTAAAATTTTCACATTGTTCTATGTCTTAAATTAGAAATTAAAGTTAATGACCTAAAACTACAATAGTATATTACAGTACAAGTGAAAAAATTTACAGTTTCACTCACGCATGTGTCGGATTTCTGAAATATTTATGGGGTCCTACAAAATTTTTAAAAATATTATGGGGTCCTGGGGGTTGCGAAAAAATCTCGGTGATAAAGAAGAGGTCGCGACTGAAAAAAGTTTAAGAAACCCTGCCCTAGACCACAGCTGACAGTCTTTGTTTATGCAAGGCCAAATGAATCTTTTTGTCACCAATTTGTTGTTGCATGAATTCCGAGATGGGATAAGTTATACAGTACAAAGTCTGTATGACAGTCTTCAGTGTATGAGATGTTTAAAAATCAAAAATGATAATACCTTTTGCCAACAGTTAAAGGTAGAGTTAGGGGAGTAATATGAAGGACTTGTTTTTTTGTGCAGTAATTGTGGATCTATATGTGGCATTGATGAAATTATACAAAAATTTCCATAAATGGGCATTCCGAAAAATATGCTGTTATGTGCCTCCAGTAATTTCTCTAATAGTTTCATTTACCAAGACTGTAATAATCCAAAATATTACCACTCGAAATGAAATTTTTTCCCTTGAGGAAATATCATAGAAGACCAGGAATCTGCATAGCATGGGACCAGAAGTTGTATGCATTTTGTCATAAAACGAGAGGTCTCTAGATTTAGACTTAAGGGCAGAAAGAAGGCAGAGTAAATAATAAATGAAAGAAAGCATGTAAAAGCAGTTACTTTCTTTTCACTATTTTTGTAATGTAGAACACACGGGGTATATACAAAGGAAAAAAAAAAAAGGATATAAAGCATATGAAGAAACGTATAAGAAATTATTTTTTACGAACGTGTGTTTTATAACACTTTGATTTAAAATTGAATAATATTCTAGTTTCTCCCTTCCTGCATTAAACAGTACATTATCATTTTCTGATTGTAACAAACTATATTCTAAAAAATCTAACTATTTTCCTCTTGTGTCAAATTTTTATCAGATGGTATCTTCCGAGTGCTTTGTAGATTATCATCTTGCATTGAATTTGAGATACTGTTTGTAATTTAATCATCAAACATTTGATAGTAGTCTAACTTTGTATCCAACCCATTTCATCATGACGCACTTTTTCATTTTTTATTGTTTCATTTGCATTAAAAAAAAGTATTTCTTTAGCTACTGTGTTTATTAGATCCTAAATCTAAAAAAATTTTGTTTCAATGAAAGTGAATTGCCATAAATTGTATGGCCCACCATCGGCTGAGTGGTAAAGTTGCTAAACACCGGTAGTTCAGTCTGAAGTTAAAATCCCAGCAAACAGCTTGGGTGCATGGGCATTTTCACCATGTATAAAAGCCAGTTTCCATTAGAAAGTCCTCCATGACAGCATCTAACCTCTTAGGCAGATAGCCCTCGAGAGCTTTGCCATAAAAATAAGCAAAACTACCCATAGATTGTATCACAGATTTATCAAGACAGACTTGGAGAGAAATGTTTTTGATTCGAAAGCTTTGTGGTTTTGCTGCTGTGTTAACTATGAATTTCACTATTTGCATTTGAGAGGCTTGGTGGATTTCTGGTTTTGGTGGACTTTTAGTTTTCAATTGTCTTATTCTGTTACTGTGTCTGCTTCGATTACCGGACATAAACTCATTTGAGAACTTCTGAAGCGTAACAGAAAATTGTAAACCTAAAAAATTCAGTAAAATTTTTGCTACAATAGGAACAGCATGAAGCACAGAATAGAAAATTAAGTGCCTAAAACATGTTCTGAGGTTATAAAAAATAATCAACTGTGGGTGAAATGTGTATTTTTTGAATACGAACTCATTTTATGCATAGTCTTATCTATTTATCAACAAAAACATAAAACATGTTTATTTTTATTTCAGATATTTTACAGTTAAAAAATTCAGAAACAGCTTTTTTTTTTTTATGTATAAATAAATGATAAATTCTCTACTGCCAAGCAGGCACATAGGCTGGCTACATGGGTGCTTTTCTCCCAAGTGTAACCTAGATAGAGCCAGTTCCTTAAATGCTCCATGATGGCATCCCTTTCCTTAGGCAGATAGCCTTTATATGCTGTGTTATAATCAACGAAAACAAATCAAATCAACCACACTATAAATAATGGAGTGCTTTCTGATTATCTGCACCTCCCATCAAACAGTTGCAAATTCGTTGACAACTTTGGGGATCATTAGTGACTATTTTTTTGCCAAGTTAATGCATCAAAGGCCATAGCTATTTTCAAAATAGCAGTGCATAAAGAATCCCATGCAAGTGCAATCAATCAGTAAAATTTAAAAAAAAAGGCAAGTAACGTTGGTTATAAAATATTATGATTTTCGAAAAATCCTTTTTTTTTTACTCTATTGTTCTTCCCATGTGCACGGCCATTTGGGTTTGCTTAAAAAAATATCACAGAATTGCTCAAATTTGGCATCCGTACAACTTCAACATTGTGCTTCGGCCATTTGGGTTTGCTTAAAAAAATATCACAGAATTGGCCAAATTCGGCATCCGTACAACTTCAACATTGTGCTTCAGTCAAAACAAACATGCTACATGCATACCTGGGTTGCAAAATGATTACTTTTTGGTGACATCATGTGGTTGCCACATAATTATTTTGGTAGCATACTGCTGTGCCTCACAAATACTTTGTGGCTTTCTGATGGGGGGTCTAGATAATCAAAAAGTAACAATAATTATTTTATTTATTTATTTTTATCTTCTGGCTGCATGTGCATGTGAGTAATATAAGTAGAAGCTATATGTAAATTTTTTCTTGAAGGTTGAACTAGGAGGGAAAGCAGAAGAGGCAGGTTTGAAGGCTGGAGACCATGTGATCAAAATTAATGATGTCCAGTGCCTTTCTCTGGCAGACGCATTACAACTTATTGAATCTGCCTTTAGAACACTAACAGTTTTAATCTGGAGGTGAGCTTATTATATGTGTTTAAGTAATTCAAATTAATATTTTATAAATGGTACATAAAATATTATATATATTTTAGTAAATATGAAAAATATTTTAGATTATTTTTAATTCTTTATAAATATTTTAACCTTGGTTTATTTTTCATGCAAGCAAATGTTTGAAAGTATATTTTAAATGCCTTAATGTTTGATTGTAGAAGTGTTTTATGTTAATGTTTTTGTTTTGTCTTTTACTAGTTGCTATTTTGGGGGAAGGAGGTGTATATATTTTATATTTGTATTATTTCATATGTGAATTCTAATTTTTGGGGGGGCATAATAATTTTGGTACTTTTTGGTTAGCCAGGTGCAAATTCCACCAATGTTTTTTTTGGGGGGGAGGCAATGTGTTAGAAGTACTTGCACAAGTGATGAGAACAAAATGGTGATTATCCAAAAGAAAGCCGAAAACATTTATCAGTATAAAAAAAAAGTGTTTATTTTTTCATGAATATACAAAGAAGAAATTTTTATATTTATTCGATTATTTGATTTTCCCTAAATATGCAAATGTCTTTGACAATTTCCTCAAATGGACCTTTACTTCTCTTCTCCACATAAATTTGGTGAGGACTCCATGGGCTGATGGGCAGTGCCCCGATGGTTTTTTATATCTCCAATTGGCACTGCTCCAAAGTTGTACGATTTTTTTTTTTTTTTTTTTTTTGTGTGTGTGTGTGTGTATTTACGCCAGTGTCAAGGTCAACAAAATTATACCTGTGGTTGATTTTGAAATGCTGTAGATCATCTTCTTTGATTTTTGTGGTTCAGTAACCTTTCCAGAAATCAAAATACACAACAGGTCCTTCTTTAATATGTTTTTTATCGTACTGGTGGAGAACAATTTGGAACCATAACTAGGAGGCATTCATCAGTTTGGGGACAAATATTAACAAATATCCACTGTTCTAAAAGAATTCGACCAGCATTCCACTTTCATTTGGTTAACAAGCTTACGTCGATTTCAATGATCATTTCAGGACCACCAAATTTGTTCTTTTTTCTTTTTGCTTACATTTCACTAATATTTCTACACAAACTTCTTGCAAGTAGTTGTTCCAATCTACAGTTGTCAAATGAATCTCCAGTTTTTCTCACACCATTTGATTTATGGAATTTCTTCACTCCAAACATAAATAAATTTTTAAGTTGTTAGGAACTTAATCTGGACGTTTCGAACCACGTGGCTACAAATTCTTTTCTTTTTGCAGCAGGCAGAAACATTGCAACACCATGTAATTCCAACAGAAAAATAAAGTTTAATTTCACGATTTTGATAACATGTTGAATTTGTTGCCAATCTCTTTTCGGGAAAAAAAAGGGGTCCTCCTCTTCTTCTTTTTTAAGGTATATACCCAAATTATACAAAAGAAAAAATGGCATAAGTTGGCAGAGGTCTAAATTATTTTCCATCTTTCTGCTTGTGCCGGGCAAAATTATTTAGCGACTTTCCACTTGTGCCTTGGTTAACTGAAAAGTACTGCATTTCTTTTTAGCAATTTTCCCGACATTCTTGATTATACATTGGCATTTCCTTTGACTCTATTAATTATAGAGGCTGTTTTAATAACTACAAAATTAAATCATATTTTATCTGCTGGTATAAGTCACATTAACCTGCTTATGAAGAAAGAAAAAATGGGTAAGGGGAAAGCCACAGTATCACAAAAAGAGCACAGAATCACTTTAATAAGAAGAAATAGTATATCAAAGACAGATATCTAAACCTTTCATTTCTGCGAGTCTCTTTTGGCTGTTATTAGAAGCTACAAATTTCAGTTACCTAATTTGCTGCTATGAAATTCAAATTTCTGTTGGTTGAGAATTCATTATCTAAATATTGTGTGGTGTAATATGATCTGAGATCTAAGTAAGAGTCACCATAAAATGAATTTACAACATTAAGAAAGAAAAATTCTTTTATGTATTGAAGATAATTATATTCTATTAATTTTACATGTCAGTTGCTGATTTTTAAGCCAGCTGCTGTACATGATAAGAATTAAAAGTTTTAAATGAATTTTCAAAGCACTGTTTTGTAGAAATGATCTAAAATTCAAATTTTATTTGAATTCAATATCCATTAACTTAATGCAGTTAAAGTTATTACCTGAAATTGCATGCCTTGCATGTTCTTTTTATTACTGTTTATCAATTAGTAGATGTATGTGGTGTTTACTTAAACTTTATGTAAGATAATTTTTATTTCTGTATATTATATTACGAGTTAAATCACCTGTGATACCATAACTTCCAACTAACTATAATTATTAATTAAATTGCCTTTCTATACTGCTGTGTACTTTAATAATCTGTGTGTGTGTTTTCCCTGTAGATGGGATACTTTAAAAAAAAAAAGGGAATCGCTTTACCTCAGCAGAAGTATTTATTCATTGCATCTGCAAACTAAACAATTTATGATATTAGCAGAATTAATACTTTTATCTTCAAAAGACGTTATTTTGGCAATATATACATAGGGTGTCCACAAATGTTCTTTCGGTGTCAACATTTTATCATTCAGCAGCATTTGCAAAACATGTTTGAAGAAAACAAACAACTCGGAATAGCAGCTGGGATGATACCTAATGAATGAAATCTAATTTCTCCAAAAATTGGTATACCTTTTGGTTTATTTATTTTTTTTTTCTAGATTCTAATTTTGTTGCCTGAAGTTGAAAATGTTTCTAAAGGAGCTTCAGAACAGTTGACTTTTTTATAGTTGATACTTGACTGGCCTATGATACAGATATTTATTGAACTTTAAATTCCATCAGTGTTACAAAACATTCCTTCATTCATATTCTTTATTCTGTAGTTCATGTATTAAAATAATTTAACTATCTGAGAGTAATAAAGTGTTGAAATTAGAAGGAATTTTTGTAGACACCTAAAACAGTAAATGTATATGTTTCAATTAAGAAAATATTTTTGAAATAGTAATTTTATGTTTTTTATATAGACCCAGAAAGTGCCAACAAAATGTATATAAAGAGCACAACGTATCCAAGTTAAAATCGAGCATTCCAAGTAAGTCAACATGCAATTCTTCATCAGGATATTGTCAACCTTCACCTTTATATCAAAATATAGATTTATACAAAAATCGAGGTAGAAATTTTAAGCCAATTTTGGACTCTAAACCTGAATTAAGCTTTAGTTCCTTTGTGGACATTCATCCAGATAAATTAAATGATATTTCTAGAGCTGGTATGGAAAAAAGGATTGATGGATGTGTAAAAAAATCATTTTCTTCTGCAGATATCCATCGTATTAATACCACGTTGCACAAAAGTGGAAGAATGTTACATAAGGTTTATAGTGAACAACAGAGCATTTTTACAGGTAACCTCAAAAAATCAACAGGAGAGCCCAAATATGAGCAATTCTCCCACATTCCTTCCCCATCAGAAACTCCTTCAAATTCTAAAATTGATGCAGTGTGCTTTACTAAATTAAACATTGATACTCAACAAGTCAAACAGAATAATTATGGTGTGTATGAAATTTACAGTGACAGAAGTGATTCTAAGAAATGTGAGCCATCTAAAAAAGTTTCGGCAATTGGAGAGAGTGATTCCTTGTGTTGTATGTATCCCACGTGCCATTTTAAATACAGAAACTGTAAAATACATTCACCACCTGAAAGAGATATTCCAGTCCCATGCAAGCCAACTTTTGGTCAAAGTGTATATAATTTATCTGATATACATTATTATTCCAAAATTAGTTATTCTGATCATAAATGTAATACTATTTCCTATTCTGACACATTCCAAAAGAGCTTGAGTTATTCAGTTATCAATGAAAGGATTTATGAAAACTGTAGCAGATTTCTTGAAAGTGACTCCTTAAAACATCCAGATTCCTTAAATGGCTTTTGCGAATCTTTTAAATCTGTTGAAACAAGTAATTCCCAGTTTAAGAAAGTTACTAACATGTGTGCTCCTGATAAAGTTCCTGGCAGTCATAATCATACTAAAGATTGGAATTTGCCAAATAGTTCTGTTTCTAGTCCTAAAGGCTTGATTTCTTGTGATAATGACAAAATTTCTTCATATGAGAGATACTTCAATCATGCAATATCTAATTCATTGAAAAAAGCAGATTTTGATGGTGCTCAACAAAATCAGTGCTTCGGAAAAAAACTTGTTTCTGAAAATAATGAGGGTGACCTATCTTCTGCTTATCAGCCATCAACTTGTTTGAACATGGAAGAAATAAAATCTGTTGTAAAGAAACTTCCTTCAAATGAAAAGGATGAAATGCTGGTAAGATAGTTTAATTCCTTATAATTATAATGAAATCTATAATATTTTCTGTTTTAATATTAAGTGAAAACTTAATTAAAAACTGAAGCGGGTAATCATCTTTACTGTAATAGGTCATGTTTAAAAAAACTTCCATTTAAATTAAGGCATTTTTAATGGGAAATAAGAATACTTAAAATTTTGTATGTGGCAGAAAAATAAGGAGCACATACAGTAGCTCAAACAATTGAGAATACACCAATGAAAAATATGTTTAACTACCATTACATTTTTTCTACGTGGCTGCTATTTTAATCTAACTTTGCCTAATCTTTTCTTAAACCTCTTTAAATAGAAAATGACTTCTCGAAGAGAAACCAGTATTGAAGTAAGGGTATTCATACTAAGATTTTATAAAAGGGGAAAATCTTATCTTGGAATAGTTAAAACTTGGTAGCAGTCATGTGTGTCTCTAGAAAATCACTGGAAAATTTAAAAGTGATGGATTGATTGAAAATAAAAGTGGAAGAGGAAGGAAAGGTATTCTGATTGATGTCGCTAAAAAGGAAAATTTTGAAAGGTACTAAAAATTGAGTTGCTAGAAGTAGAGTAGCTAGTAGAGTTGCTAGAAAGAAATCATTCGTTACTTAGCAAAATAAGAAAAAGTGTTTAGAGTTTGCAAAAACTCATCAGTTGAAGATTCATAACTTTTCGAAGAGAATTCATTGATGAATGTAAATTCAACATTTTCGACAGTGCCGGCCATTGCACCATATGTAGAAAGTCCCAACATCGCTTTGGATGCAATAAAATTAAGTCTTGTAGTTAAATATGGTAGTGGCTCTGTCATGATTTGGGGTTGTATGTCTTCAACTGGGGTAGGAAATTTAGTTAACATCAAAATTCTTTAACATTGGAAACGTGTCTTTTTCCTTGTAAACAGCAGACACCACAGTCCCTAGATGTCAGTGTCACAGAAAATCTGTGGGCCATACTCGAAACAACAGTTCAAAAACACAAAATTTAAAACAAAGGGCATTTAAAAGAAGTGCTGCAAGAAGAATGGAATAAAATATCTTTAGGTACGACCAAAAAGTTGGCCAAATCAGTACCATGATATTTGAAAGAGATCAAAAAAGCAAAAGGACATGCAACAAAATAATTGACACTTTTTTGTATGTGAGATATCACAAAAATTTTATTGGTGTATTCTTAATATTTCAAGGCAAAATTCAGCATATGTTTATTTAAAATGCTTTTGAATTTTTTCATTTTAGAATGTTTTTTTGTTGATTGTGCTTTATTTTTACTTTAAACCATTTGTTAATTGCAAAAATAACTTGTTTGCTATTCTTGGTAATGTGTTATTTATATTGAAAGTTAGATTTTTCAAGTAAAAGTAAGGTTTATTCTCAATTGTTTGAGTTACAGCATGAGCATCTATAAGTATCTGCCTTATCTGGTGTCTAAAACTCTTGCAATCTTATTCAGTTTCATAACTTTGCCAGAAAAGTGTTTTCCATACCCCATGACGTACTGGCAATAGCAATGGTGATACATAATTAGTATTTTTATAAAAGTATGTAAATCTAAAGACTTCACATTTAACTGATAAAAATCTATAAAGCTGTTCTTGATTAATATCCTGTTTGATCCATAATGCTGTTGAAAATTAAATTATTATTTTAAATAGCTTATTATTCATTCTACCTTGTAGCTTATTAAAGCTCTGATTGTAAATAAGCTTATTTCACTATAACGTATTTTTTTGGTTCTGATATCATGATGCATTTTGTTTGTAATAGTAGTGTTAAACTCTGAAACATAATTCATTCTTATTCTCATTTTATTTACCTTCTCATCTTCATTACATTTTAATGTATTAAATTTGAAGCTCTCAGTTTTCAGATATGATATCTGTAGTAGTTATTAAAACTTGGTTATTATTAAAATGTTAGAGTATCATAATGTGTGTCTAGTTTTTAGTTTAATAAATTATGGTTAGATCTTGAAGCTGTATCAAATTGATGGTACAACACTGGCAAAAAATTGCATTCTTCTGAATTGAAACTCTCTCATTTAGACATTTCTGCAAGTTAGCATTGGGGCTTTTGTTTATAGTGCTAATAATTTCTAATTAATGACTACATTGTGTTTTGTTTGAATTCATTGTTGTAAAATAATTGTTTCGGTCAAAATTTGAGCAGCGACTTTTAAGCTTAGTGCCTTTTAACTTGCATTAGTGAAACTTGCTTTGATTATGTTTTGTGAATTACTTTGCATATTAAATTTCAATAATGGATGCATTCCACTACTTTATGGAATGTATGTAGTTGTTTAATGTTATTAATTCATCCCTGATTTCATTTCTGCCAACTGAATAAACTAGTTGCATAGAGATTTTGTATGTAACCTATCATCTGGAAAATTTCCTTAAAAAGCACCCTTTGCCTGAGTGAAGTAGAGCTTAAGTTCTTTGCTGTGATTTTTTACCTGTATTTAAGTTTTTGCTTGTTTTATATTTTTTATAAACTTATATAAAACAGAATCCATTTAAAAAAAAATCTGATACATTTAAGTACAATTTTCAGAAGATTTGGAATTTTTAAGAAGTGGCATTCAACAGTTAGAAATTTAAAAAATTGCAAACTTTACATTGTTAATGAACATACTGCAAATGTTCTTTATTAAAATAAGAACATCTTTTAACATTTACTATATAGACTTTTTGATACGTTTTTCCTTTCAAATTTTCAGGAAGAGCTTTTTAATGAGAGGACAATAGATGATGGAGTTCAGAATGTATCGAGTACTAGCTCTTCCCGGTCAAGTAGTCCAGTTTTACCATTGCCTCCCCCACCCCCTATTACTGAATCTGAAATAATACCATCGGATGAGCCACTGCCACCACCTCCGTAAGTTTTTCTATGATCTATATTTTTTCTTTGTCAGATTCTTCAACAAAAAAATTTTTGTGATTTTCCATTTCATAGAAAATTTAAAACAGATTAATTAAACAATTGGCTTTAAAATTTGTGTTTAAGCACCATGTATTATGCATGGTAAAAGTATTCATTCCATAACTGTAAAAAAGTGCAGTATGAAACTATTTTTCCAATTCGTGTTGCTGGTGGGCAAAAATTTAATTTGTAAATATTAAATACAGCAAATATTTTGTAGAATTATGTTGTTGATTAACTTTCTCATAAAATTTGCAAATCATTTCAATTTTTGTCATTCTTTTGAAGAAAAAGATTGTAGGTATGTATATAGTGAATGCAGGTTGTGTATTTCACTGACTCAACAGTACTGAGTTTTTCTTGGTTTAGTTGATTATGGCAAAACACACTAGAGCTATTCGTGTAAGGGTAGGAATACCTTTGTGGAGGATATTCTAAGAGAAATGGGCTTGTATACATGTTGCTCATGGGGAAAACCATAGAAATAACCATGCAGCCAACCTGTTAGCCTGGAACTAGCAGAAAACCAAAAGTTTATTCACAAACGAAGATATATGAACAACTAAAGGTAGGAAAAGTACAATCTCTTACTTTTCCCTCTAATCTTAAATTATTTAATTGTCCCATAATATTGGTAAAGAAAAGCCAAATCCTGTAGCCAGTCTTCATTTTGTGGTAGAACACTTACTGAGCAATTCATTGTTTTTTACCAGCTATTTTAAAACACACTCCTTCAAATTCTAAAATCTCGAGAGTTCCTTTGAAAAGCCAAGCCAGTACACACTATTTAGTGAAGTAGTAACTTGGCATCCTCTTCCGTTTCTTCTGGGAAAAGCTACTGAAATCGTCATCCAAGTCAGAGCTCTAGCTCATATTTTGTTAATACAGTGCGCTACAAAGTCAACAACAAAAAACAGGTTTTAAGATTTTACAATAAAATCATACTTAAACTTTTCTTCCTAAATAATTTCCAAACAATGTAACAAAACATTTTATCCTTCCAATCGCGTAAGGCACTTCATCTGTGCAAACACTATCTAATTTTGTCCACTCTACTTTGTTAACATCAATTACATTTTTAGTTCTTTAAAAATATCCTCACCCATGGTTAAAACTAGTTGGTGCAAATGAAGTAGTATGAAATGATCTTTGATGTAACACACAGATGAGCACAGATATCATGTAACACACAGATAAGCTTAACTACACACTTTCTATGATGTCACAGCTTTCATCCAAAGTTAGTGAAAAGTATTTGCAATATTGTAGTCTAGAGACAATTTGTGTGGCAACATCCAGGTCCATGTCATCTATACGATGCATGATTTTATTTCTAGACAAACCTATTTTATCAACCATATGTGTGACATTTATATCAACAACATTTTGGGCAAATATTAAAAGACTATTTTTTTATCTCTGCTGTGGCAGAATAGGGTTTCCTCTTGCGAGCTAACAGAGAAAGTTCATAAGAAACCTTCACCATAGTTTCCATTTCAGGATTTGTCTTCTAGAACGAGGATTGTTAGGCAGCTAAAGTTTTCTTTCTTTTTTTTTAGTGACAAATTTCGTTTTGCGATCCGACAGGATATTTGCTGTTAAAAGCATTATGCAACTGTCTGAAATGTCGGTCCGGGTTAAATTTTTTAGGCACTGCTGCACAAATTTCCCCATGTCAAACGCGCTTGGAAATATTTTGATATGTAAACAAAAATTTTTCCTCCCAGACAGTTCTAAGATCACGAATTGCAATATCCTTTTCATTTTTTCTTTTTGATGTCGAAGGTTTACTCTTGGATATAGTAAAAATAAAATTTTTAAAACAGTGACATTCAGTGCCAAAATTTAAAAACAGTTGAATAAAGCTTAACATCTTGCTCGACAGTTTAAGATAAACTGAGCCTACAAAACAGTGAATGAATATGCCAACAGTTTGTCTGAATCAGGGAATGTTTAACAGCGGCATATTTGGGTTAAATGTATGCATCACATAAGTGTTTGAGAATATTCTCTTTTTAATTTGTTTCTGTTTTATATCATTGGAGTTTATTATGATATCCGATCGAACACGTAGCAGGGATTCAATAACTAACTCAGCATGTTATATATTTTCTTGTGCATTCCACTTTTGTATGTGGCTGTGGTTGAACTTGGAGAATAACATCGGAGTGTTGCTGTAGGGAAATAAACCTAAACTAAAATTCAAAGATTTGGGTTATATTTATTCTAATGTGTTTATGTCTGTATCTGTTGATGAAGTTGATACAGACAGTATTATTTTTTCAAATCTGTTAATTTTCTCCGTCAATACAGACGATATAATTTTTTTCAAAGCTTTTAATTTTTCGATAAATCTTCACTTGCCACTGTTAAACCCTGTGCCATGCTATGGTTGGCTCTGATGTAATCCCTGATGTCCGAAGCCAGCTGCATTGCTGATAGATGCTGCTTTCTGGTAAATGTTAAAGAGTTGGATTGTTAAAAAAGGGTTCTAGTGAATGTTACTCTTCATTGGGATTCAAGTCTTGCAAATGCTGTATATTTTTTAACAAACATGGCAAAAGGATGAATTTTTATATTACAGTGCATGGTGGAATGGGAAAATAACAGTGAGCAAAAAATAAATAAATAATTAAACCTGCTAAATTTTTTAAAAAAACAAAAAATGCTGAAATTTAAATTATGTCCAAAGGGGTGTTGTTTTTTACATTTTGTCTGTTAACTTTATTAAATATCACGTTCTTCGCACTTAAACCATAAAATTCAGTTCAAGAGCAATATTGCAAAATAGTTTTAAATTGAACAAATCATTAGAATTTCCGATACGCAGTCTGGAGATAAAAATGTTTTTTCTGTACAACGTTGCCATTGCTTGCTCTGAAATCCTTGAGTTTGTTAATCAAAAATTCATTAAAGATTTACAAAATATGAAAATGATAATAAAACAAATTCCAAATTTCAAACTTCGGCTTCCACATGCCCATATTTGCAGTAGGATTACATCATTCAAAATTCAATGGCTCTATATACCGTTGTTTTATCACAATGTGAGAAATATACATTCATTTATGCAGATTTTTCATTATTTAATTTCTTCAAATATAATGCAGAACTCTAATATTTGGTGGTAGCAGTTTGAAAAGTGAAATGGCCATTTATAGTGAACCAACGCAAAATCGCAAAATGAAAACAATAGTCCTTCAGGGACAAAGCCCTTTTGACTAAAAATGAAGTAACGAAAGTTGTTTTAATCATGGATATTTACGAGAAGTAATGCTTGATGGTTAAAAAAAAACCATTTATATGAATGACCAGCAGTTGGCGGTCATTCATGTGAATGGTTTTCTTTTTAAAAATCATTATTTCTTGTTAATTTGCATGATTTATTTCTTGTTAATTTGCATGACTGAAATGAGTTTTTGTATTTTTCAGGGTTTTCATGCTTGCTGTATTTTTCATTCTTATTTCACATTCCGCAACACTTTCCTACATCCTTTATGCAGGGTTGCCACGCTACCTGGAAACCCGGAAAAAGTCAGGGAATTCGGAAATTGACCATAAAATTCAGGGAAAAGTCAGGGAATTTAAGTGTTTTAGTCAAAATCTGGAAAAGTCGGGGAATTTCATACCACGATCCCGCGAAAAGGCGAGTTTTACGCCGACGTCGGAAAAGATCACTTTTTTGGCAAATTGTGTATCACGTGAGTGTCATTCCCGCAGTTGGCATAGAGCCAATTTTCGCAGCTCCAATTTGATTGTCTTTTTAGAAAGGCAAAGCAAGTTTCCCGCAACTTTTGGTTTTCAGTAACCTCGAGAATCGCATGTGCAGTGCATGAACTAAAGAAAGTACCTGTTCTCGTATAAAACAAAATGGGTTTAATCCTAGTATACGGTATCATGAAGGTTAGAATTAAAAAAATATGTATTGTAAAGAAGGAAAACCTCTCTGCAACAGACGTGGCTCGGTTCCATCATAGCGGGAAACAGCTGTGCATGCGCGATATATCTGTCGCCAAAGCTCGAAACCGGTGTCGAAGTTCGAAGGTCACATTATCAAGAGTTCATAAAATGAATATCGTTTAAAATGTCTTTAAACTCTAAAGGAAAAGAAAATATTTTTTGGCGCAAATAAATTAATTCATGGATTAGTTATTTTGAGGGGGGGGAATCTACGAAAATCCGTTTTTAAAATTATTGCGAAAAATCCAAGAAAAAACGTTCTTTGATAAAACGTTTCTTCTTGGATTTTTCGCAATAATTTAAAAATGGATTTTTGTAGTTTTCTTTTGTGTCAAAGAATGTTTCTTCTTAACACGTGTTTCTCAATTTCCTGTACACATCGCGGAGAGGGAAATTCTGGCCGTTCCGTCGTCAAATCCCTTGGCAAATTTTCCCTCTGCTTTTTACATAGACGTTCTTTGGTCAGAATAATCTCCATGTATGGTACAGCGGGATTTGGCGACACGATGATGAGCAGTAAACGGTCACTTTGTTCTTGGCGACAATTTTCAAAATCATGCGAAGGCCGTATCGTATACTAGGATTTTACTGCAAAATCTTTTTTTTTTTCTTTTCTTTTTAATAAATACCTTGTCATTTTGCAGTAAAATAAAAAATAGTAATCAATCATCTAGGATAACCATGTAATATAACTACATTCGCTAAAATATCGTTGATTATTCTAATTAAATTTTTAAGTAATTATCTTTATTTTTATGTTATTCATATCATTTAATGTTGCTTCCTCCCTCTAAATTTATTATCATTAGTAAATAATATTTCCAAATTTCAGGAAATTTTCTCTGGCATAATCCTGAAATTAATTCTAGCAGTATGATGACATCACGAAATTTAATGCACATATTTTTTCCTTATGTATGCTGCGAAATAAATATAAAATACCTCAATTTATAAAAAAATATCATTAAATAGATTTCTTTCTTTCGTTTAGCTGCAGAATGTCTGCAAAAAAAGCCTTATTTTATTCCAGATTGGGCAGATTCTAATCTCAATCTTCAGTGGAGAAAACAACTCCTATTATAATTATATTTGTGTTTTCAAGTGTTAAGGTGCCTTTTAAGAATACACCTCACACAAATTAAATTTACCTAAAATCTAACTAACTTTTAGCATTGTGTTGTGATTTATAAGAACCGGATTAGCCTCGTGTTGAACTGGGGATGATCATGAGTAATAGTTAAATAAAACGTACAGTTGGTTATCCAATGTATATATCTTAAATTTTATTAAGTTTTTTTAAGCGGAAAAGTAAACAAAATTATCAAACAAAGTGTACCAAGAATAATTAAGAATAAATGTCCTCTGGGATTTATTGAATAATTAAGTGAATTTGCTACACAGTACAAGTAATACCATAATTATTTTACCTCTTAGCACAGCCAACGTACATTACACGGATAGACTGGAATTTTCTCGAAACATACCTGGAAAAGTCAGGGAATTTCATTCTCCTGTTTGAGTGGCAACCCTGTGTATGTATATGTGTATAAGGTCTAATAATAAAATTAAATCCATTTTTATTGCACATACATATATTTTCTTCATTAAATGGGCACATTCCAAATTTATAAGAAAAGACTTATTCTATATTGAAATTTTATTGGTTTTGAAAGCCAACATGATACTTTTTTATGGAACTTCAAAAAGCAGTTTTTTTTTTTAATTAGTAGGTGAAATAACTTATGGTTCTGTGTTCTAATATATAATTTGGAATATTGATTAGTTTGCCAAGTATTTTTTCTATAAAATCTTGTAGAAGTTAAATTATTTAAAAATGTTAAAATAATCCAGCAATGAAAATAAAAATATAAAATGATAGAAGTACCTGAAACTTGCTGGTATATTAGGCATTGAATGGAAAATTTTGATATTTATGAAATGTTAACAAAAAATCCGCTGAAATATAAGTTAATAGTTGTGGAAATTTGCTTTATAAAATTAATGCTGTCATCATAGCCTTTCCTTGTTACATGATGTAGAAGAATGCATAAGCAAAACAAATTCTTTTCATCTATTTCAGTTTCAGATTGCCAAGTGAGGCTCTTTTAGGCTTTGCATTTAATATCTGTGAGTTTACCTTAAGTGCTTAAACACATAAGTTGAATGAGCAGAGTCTGTGGGCTGACAGACACAATGCATGCAGAAATAATTTTTTTTTTAAAGAATGAAACAAAATTCTATGCATTTAGATGGAATTCTAAGAACAGAAAATTCTGCAGCTTCTGAGATTGATCTAAGTGAAAGAAATAATTTACCATTCTAACTACTAAAAACTGTTTTCTAAGAATCCGTGCTGAACATGCTACATTAAATGAACTGGCTATGAATATCTGTATGTATTTAACCGATAGTAAAACAGCTTGATCCTCTTTGAGAATGTGTCCTTCATTATAAATGCACACATTTAAATTGGGGGGGGGGTACCTTTTTACCGCAACAAAGTCTAATTGAATAATCTCCATCCCAGATGTGTTTATTTTTAAACATATTTTGGATACTATTTAAAATTTATTTTGTGTATTGAGCAATTTTTATTACTTATAAGTTTTATTTTGTCATTGTGTCAGATTTGTTCTAGACCTAGCATTAAATGTAATCTGAATTAATTTTCAAATTAAATTTAATCTGGATTATTCTTAAAAGTAGAAGATTAAGTTGGGAAAGAAAAAAAATTGCTGCTATGAACATTCTACTTTTATTTTTTTAGTCATTTAATTTGTAAAAGTTAATCATTTCAAGTTTACATTATGCAATAGTATATTTTTTCATTCAACCACTTTGCAAGTGAATTTTATTGTAACAGGGTATTACGCTTTTCTTCTTTTTATTAGACCTATGTCGCCAGTTAAAGACAGTCTTTGTGTACAGAGTGAAGATAGAAAACAAGTAGAGGCTATATATGCAAACTTGGAAATGTTAAGGAATCAGTCTTTACTAGTAAATTCGTCAACTCAAACAAGTACCCCTTACCTTGATAAAAAGCCGGAAAAGCCTTTTTATGAAAAGCAGGAGAAATTAACCCAAAGTATTTCTTTTGGAAATGAAATTTTTAGTAATGTATTTGCAGGTAAGTTAAACATCCTTTATACTTTTCTGTTATCAAACACTTTAGCTAATGCGTTGGATACTAAGAATTGCAAATAAAAAAAATAAAAAAAAACTATAGTGCAAGGATCATAAATGTAAATATAGCTAATGCTTTAATTAGTCCAATTTCAGTCCAGAAAACATTGATTTGGAAAAACTTATTGAATAATACATTTTATTGAAATACAGAAATTGTTTATAAATTATGATAGGGGATGTTAAAGATATTTTGGAATTGAAAATTTGTCTTATATTAAAAGACTAATTTGTGCAGGTGTAAAATTCATTGTTTCATTTCTGTCTTTAGCCCTGTGGAGTTTTAGTGTGCTTAAATGATTAAATAATAAATGGAAGTGAACTTTATCAAAACATTCATTTGGATTTCAGCTGATGAAGCAGGTGATTTGCTTGCGAAAGCCAAAACTGTGGCTGTGTTTTGGCATGTAAATTAGGATTATTATATTTTGTTTCAATTTTAAATTGAGAGAGTAACTTTATTCATACTATTATTTCAGCAATGAATGAAGTAATTATAAAAGGTTTTTGAAATAAATAAGAATATGTAAGAGAATAACAATATAATTCATAAAGTAAAATTTGGTAAATATACATGATCAAAGTATGTTGTCATAAAAGTTGCATGTTTCTTGTGCTTAATCTTATAAATATCTCATGTTTTGTAGCTTCATCATTTGAAACTGAATTGAAAAATTGTTATCTGAGAAACATTCTAAGGTCCCAATTCCAAAGCTCTGTGTCTGCAAATGAGGTCCAAATTCTTGAAGGAAAGGGCATAATTCAGAGGTAATGATAGAAGTTTGTCATTCTATAAATAATTATTTAATTTTGCTTATGAAACTTATTCTTTAAATAAATTATCCAAGTGTGTAAATATATGGGCTGTCCTATAAAATTTGCACAAACTCTGCAGAGTAATATTCCTCTTTGATTGGATAACATTAAGCTTAAAAACTGCTGTAACTCAGCATTCAAGAAAAAAGGAAACAAAAAATTAATGACTTCACATTCGGCATTAGGACAATAAACCATTAAAAACATTTTATTTAATAATTACTTTAGTACATACTGAAAATAACAGCCTAGAGACAATAATTTTGCGGATATGTTGCAGTGCGAGATCATGTTTCTGCAGGTAGCAGACCAACATTTAATTGCATACAGTGTATATTATACATTTGCAAATACTATAGTATTTGTAAAATAATAATTTTGTAGTTAATTTAGTTTTAGTTAATAATTTATAACTTCAATATTTATTATATATATATATGTGAATTTATTTTTGGTCACAAGGAATGTTGCTGTGCAAAGTTTTCTGTGGTATTTCTGAGATGTCCTATATATATATATATATGCATTCAAATACATTATACATAATACAATGTACGGGAATTGGCACTGATTCTAGGATTAAGTCTGTATAGCAAACTTTCTTTCCCTGAATTCTAATGAACATTTTTTGAAAAATAATCTGTAAGAATAATTCTACAAACTTTATTTGTAATATGAGGCATTCAAGCCTGGGGATCTTATATGCTGATTTCTCTCAGTACTACTGTTTTATCCCAGATGAGAAGCTTCAGTAGGCACGTCATATCCCACACAAGAAGTTCCACTAAGCACCAAAAACTGTGATTATTTGCTGGGAAATGTGTGCCCTCCTCTGAAATTACAAATTATGTCCTTAATTTTCAGATTATGCTTTAAAGCATTTGTAGTCCTAGCTTTTCCAGTTTATTTTTTTCATGGTTGTGAAATTTTCTGAACTGCGAAACGGAAGGTGTATGATATTTTTGCTACATACATACAGGGTGTACCGTAAATGATGTGACAAACTTCTAGGGGAGGTAGGGCACATCATAAGGATTAAGAATTGCATAGGAACCTATTCCCTGAAATGTCAGGGGTAAGTGGTAGAAGATGGGAAATGAAAGCAAGAGTGATGAATTTGACATTTATTGGATGTGAATACAAATGGTTTAGAACAGCTTGAATGTTACAATAGATGCTTGAAGTTTTCACCATCAGACGCCAAACATGCCTGACACAAACGGACCATTTATTGCCGGGCATGTTCAAACACACCAGAAGTTTCTTTGATTGTTGCTGTTGTGCAGGCAGTCTTGCCTCGAGATCTCTGGTATATTGAGAACTATCGATGGGGTATATCATAATCGGACTTCAAGCTGGCACATCACCAAGCGTCGAAGCGCATGCAGTAATAAGGAAAGAACTGGAATGCGAGTAGCTATAGATATAAGTGTGTATGCGAGTAATGGTATATTTTGTATATATAATAAAAGTAGCATATAGTTTAAAAGAGTGTATCTTGTGAAGTAATTACCCACCAAAGGATACACGGTAGCTGGCGATGAGGATGTGTTATTTTAAAAAAATCCGCATACTGCTATCTCTAAGGATTTAGGGGATTCCTCGAAGACGGCTCAAGATAAAACTTTTATAATCATTTTTTCTTTTGGAAGATCATGGAGCAGCTTGTAACTGAGTTAATAATGCAGAATAGAGCTCTAATGGAGAGACTTCACTTATTACTCCACAAATGGACAATTCGAAACTTTCAGTTCAGTTTGAAAAATATAATGAACACAAAGAACTCATTTCTAGAGAGATTCAAAAGTTATTTAGATATACAAAATGTTCCACAGGACAAGCGTGGGAAAGTATTGATTTCTAGTTTTTCCGAAAAAATGTATAGTCTTAAAAAACTTTCTAGCTCCTGATAATCCTTCCGATAAAGATTATGATGTGTTAAAAAGCACATTAAGAAACTTACACCAGTTATAATTCCTAGCAGACATATATTTTTTAATTCAAAGCAGCACAAGGGGGAAACAATTAGTGTGTATGTGGCAGAGTTAAGGTCACTTGCCATACCGTGTGCTTACGATCAGAACATGTTAAATACGATGTTGCAGGATGTATTTGTTAGTGGGTGTAGAGATAGGGCTATTCTGGATAGAATTTTTGAGCAGGATAATATCAGTTTAGATGACTCTTTAAAAATAGCTTTGGCAATTGAAACAGTTTTAAAAGGTGCAAATAAAATAATTGGGAAACCAATAGAAATTAAGGAATTTAGTGCCAGGAATAAAGGTAAATCTAAGTCAGTCGCTCCAAAACAAAAGTTTGAAAAACAAAACTTCGCAACTAAGAGCGCTAAAGGCAAAATGTGTTCGCAATGTATGGGTACTGACCATGATAAAAATTCTTGTAATTTAAGTCCAGTATCTGCAGATTTTGTAAGAAAATCGGGCACATTGAAAGAACATGCTACAATGCTGAAAAATTGAAAGCAAAACAAAAACAATTTGATGTAGGAAATGAAAACACAGTTCCTATAAACAGCATACATTCCAGTGAGGTGAAAAATAGAAAACCGCCCATGATGGCCCAAGTGAACATAGAAGGAAAACCGGTAGCTATGGAACTGGATACAGGGGCTGCAGTATCGGTAATGAGTTTTAAAAAATTCCGGAAAATTTCGAAAAAGAAAATTAAAAATACAAGTCTGGTATTTAGAACATATAATGGAGAAAAAGTGATACCTTTAGGATTTACTAAAATAGAATATAAAGGTAAAAAAAAAAAAAAAAAAAAAAAAAAAACTTAAGCCTTTACATTGTTAAAGAAAACCTTGATACAATATTTGGTCAAGAATGGCTTTCAGAAATAAATTTGGATTGGTCCGCAATAAAGGCAATATCTGTCTCTCAAAAGAGTAGTTTAAATAAATTATTGGAACAATATAAAGAGATTTTTGACAGAAAATTAGGAGAGAGAAAAAAATTATGAGGTTCATCTTAAATTGAAGCCAAATATTTCACCCACATTTTGTAGAGCTAGCAAGTACCATTTACGTTAAGGGGCTGGATAGACGAAGAAATTGATCGCTTGGAAAAAGAGGGTATAATCGAAAAGGTTGAAACTTCGAAATGGGCAACTGCGGTAGTACTAGTAGTTAAGTCGGATGGCTCTATACGACTGTGTGCTGACTACTCGGTGACAGTAAACCCAAATATTGTTACACGTCGACACCCTTTGCTGACTATAGAGGAAATATTTTCATGTTTGAGAGGGGGAAAGCATTTTTCAAAAAATGATTTTAAACATGCTTATTTACAAATGAAAGTACACACTGAGACTAAAAAATAGCTAACAATAAGCACACAGAAAGGATTATATAAGAGGTTAATGTTTGGGCTAAATGCAGTGGCGGCAATCTGGCAACGTTATGTAGACGGACTATTCCACGGAATGGAAGGTTGCAAGGTCTTCATGGATGATGCACGGATAACGGGTGGATGATGACACATATTTAAATACTTTAAAAAATTTCTTTGAAAAATGTAAAACTCATGGACTGAAATTAAATTTAGAAAAAAGTAAATTTTTTCAGGATGAGATACAATTTTTAGGTCATAAAATTGATGCTAATGGTTTACATAAAACTGATGAAAAAATATCAGCGATTTCAGACACAACAGGTTCATGTTACACGACACTTTTGATAGCTTCTTTCAAAAGGAAATCAAAGCTCGATAAATCCGGTAAGCGTGGGAGCCAGCGAACTGGTCTGCCATGCCTAATCCATCGATGCGGGAATGATCTGTTCAAATGGCTACGAACATCCAGTCCAAACTGAGCAGGGGCCCCATCATTTTGGAATCACATATTGCACCTCACATTTGGTGGAACATTGTCAAGCAAATCGGGAAGAACCTGCTCCAGAAAGATCAAATAATTCGCGGCATTCAAATGGTCCGTCATGTGTCAGGCATATTTGGCGTCTGATGGTGTAAACTTCGAGCATCTGTTGTAACATTCAACCTCTCCTACACCATTTGTATTCACATCCAATAAATGTTACTCTTGCTTATTTTCCCATCTTCTACCTCTGCTACCACTTACCCCTGACATTTCGGGGTATAGGTTCCTATGCCATTCTTAAACCTTCTGCCTACCAGCGGCCGAGCGTTAACGTCGCTGAACACTGGTAGTTCGGTACGAGGTTCGAATCCCGCAAACGGGCTGGCTGCATGGGTGTTTGCGTGTTTTTTCCCATGTGTAACATATATATGAGCCAGTTTCCCTTAGAAAGTCCATGAAGGCGTTCCTCCCTTAAGGCAGATAGCCCTCGAATGCTTTGCCGTGATCTAATAAACCAACCGAACCAAATCTTAAACCTTCTGATGTGCCTTACCTTCCCTAGAAGTTTGTCGCAACATTTACGGTACACCCTGGATAATGTATACAGTGGACTCCCATATAATGTGCTTGTATAAAACATGAATTCCTGTAATGCAATCAAAAAATTGCGACTAGTACTCGTACAGTGCTATAAACAGTCCTGTATAATGCTTAAGATAAATTTGAGATTTTTTTTCATAGTTTCTGATTTTTGTGCTAAAAAAGCAAATGTGTGCACTTACCTGTTTATACTATATGAACAGTGAAGGTGACAGTTTGAAAAATGTAGTGGTTTATAAAAAATACTGGAGTGCATTATACAGGAGTCCATACACATTTGAAAATAAGAGGGAAATAATTTTAGCATTATACAACTTTAAATAAAACTAAAAATAGTATATAATATTAATAGTAATCACTATTTAACATTTATTCACTATCAGAAGTATCAACAAATAAGCTCCAATACCACCATATTCTTAATATTAATTTTACAGATTCATGGCTTGAATAATCCTTAGTTTTGTCTTGATTGTTATCATTACATAAAAACAGTTCTTTCTCCAGATCATTTT